TTATCGAAGTATTGATTTTTATGAAAAAAGCGCCGCAGGCGAAAATTTTTAATAAAAAATCGCGCGATTTTTTATTAAAAATTTTCATTATTTATCGAAGTATTGATTTTTATGAAAAAAGCACCGCAGGCGAAAATTTTTAATAAAAAATCGCGCGATTTTTTATTAAAAATTTTCATAATTTATCGAAGTATTGATTTTATGGAAAAAGCGCCGCAGGCGAAAATTTTTAATAAAAAATCGCGCGATTTTTTATTAAAAATTTTCACTTTTTAAAATATGGTTTAAAAAAACATATTTATTTATTAGATGTGTGGTGTTATTTTGTTAGATGTGGCAGCACCCTTCTAATGTCAGTGTGAAACCATGGTTGAATCAACAGTTCTGTATTCACAATGTGCGTATACATATATAAGTGCGTGATAATTGTTAAAACTTACTTAATTTAGTAAAAATACATTATAAATTTAAAAAATATGTTTACATTTCATTGTGCGGGCTTTTAATGCAACTATTTTGCCGAAGTGTGTACATAAATAAAGTGTTTATTGTGTGAAATAGCGTCGAGAGGTTAGTTCAATTTACTAACTTTAACAACAAATAACTTAAAAACTATAAGTCTGCTGCGGCTAAAAGTATATATATTTACAATCAGGAGAACTCCCTCTATCGTTCCATACCCTTCTTAATGCCGAACTCCGGGGATGCCAAACTAAATTGCAGCCATAGCCATAGCTAAAAATAATAAAATAAATAAAGACAGCAAAACTCAAATATCGCACTCCTATTATTTTGTGGACAACTGTATGTAGTTGAATTCAGCGTAAAAAGTATTATCGGTCTGCATTTTTAGTTTTCCCATAGCTGAACGGTTGGTTATCTTTATGTGTTCCGAAAATACATGAAGAGATTTCCTAGAACACCCAAAAACCGATGAAATGGAAAGTCAACCCATTAAAACTAGTAGAAAGGTGCAGAACACCCCCACTGCACTTGTTCCATTAGTTCGTCTCTTTTTTTACCACTTTTTTTACTTTACTTTACCAAATTTGTTTTCAAAACCAATACTAAAAATTCTATTCTTACATGAAGTACTTGAAAAACGAAACAATTCAGCCTCCTTTTCAATAATTAGAGAGTTGCGGCCCAGATAATCTCTACATATATACAGAGAACGGGAATATATATGGAAAATTATTAGACTAAATGGCCCCTGCAAAGACTGGATCAAATGGCATACATCCGTCTCGTTTGTACACCCCGATATTTTCTTTGCTAACCATTCGGTATCAGATTCGGCACTTTGCTTATCAGGAATGTTAAAAATATCCCCATTAAAAAGTATGAGGAAGTTTCCTTGTCGAACAGGTTGTGAACACAAATTATCACCTTGCTGCCAAAGAACTGAACTACCAAATTCCAAAAATATATTTTCTACCTTAATCTTGAGACAAGAAAAAAAGTTTGGTCCCCTTCGTTTCAAAAACTTTAAAAGTTTTTCATTTGTTTTAATCTCACAATTAATACCACAAGCAATTCCACACATTATAATATTTATGATAAAAATACTTAACAATATATAGGGATGAATCGATACAAGTAAATCCAAGTAAATACTCGATACTTTTCTCACTTCACAAGTATTTTAGTCCTCGATGCATTTTAGTCCCCTTTCAGACACGTCAAATCTTGCTTTCAAGTCTGCTCGTTCGTTGGTGAAGGAGGTGGGAAGAGAGGGGAAGAGTACAGATACCTCCGTACCGTCAATTCGTTTCAAGTTTTCTTGTTCTCTTGATCTTTTCGTTGCTTCCCGTTTAAAGAACCAAGTAGTTGAATTCAATAAAACTTGATGCGTGTGGAAGCAAAGAGAAAACACAAAAGAGAATGCGATAAAAATTGCTTTCAAGACTTGACGTGTCTGAAAGGGGACTTACTACGATCCAAGTAGCAATCAAAAAAAAGTACTTGTATCGGAGGCATGAACGATAAACTTTGGTTCTTTTTGGTTCATGTATCGGAGGCTCAAAACTTATTTATACCATGTTCTCACCGACAATGAAAACACTTTGAAAACGAGTTTCAGGATTGTGGCTGATGGGCTGTTTTTGCTTACGCGTAAAAGCACATTTAGCGCATTTAGCTCTAAATGCTACTCTAAATGTACATTTATCCATACAAAATTCCTCACCTAAATGCAACTAAATGCAACTCCATTTTTGCATTAAGAATCTAAATGCTAAAAGCAACCCTGTGATCTTCCAAAATTTCCACGATTCGAACATGGTTTAAAGAGAAAAAGTGGCAACATTGCTTTTTCGAGTATACAGTTGCTAGCTGCGTTTCAGTGATCGCCGATCGAGATTTCTTTTATTTTACATTACATATTTGGATAAAGAAAAGTTAAGCAAATTCAACATCGATTTGATGCTGATAGAAATCTGGATCAATTTGTGATCAACTCTGTTTGGTTTGTTTCCTAATTAAGTGAGGAAATTTTAATTGACAGCACCGACAAATGAATATATACACAAACAAATGTTCGGTTATGGTTAAAACAATTCAAGTTTTTGTATTGAATTTTTGGTTTAAAATTTATTTTTTCCTTTTCAGTAGGGTTTTTGCACATTATCTTCTGCGTGAGAATTGATCTTAATATATACGGATCTAAATAAGAGACTGGGACACGGCTGTTTGTCTAAAGCATACGATTTCGAACTCGCGTAAATGTACATTTGCTAAATGCTATATCATGAACGCTCTTCGAAAACATATGTTCGAAAGTGCTAAATGTTGCATTTTAAATGCAGCAAAAACGCTGCATGAAGGGTGTTCAACCGGCTGTTAGGGCCGGTTACTCAATGTCTGGTTCACACTAATCTGCGGTTAAACATCGTTATCCACGTCTTCGACTCCATGCATATAACAGGGAGTCGGTAACGTCGATAACTAGGTTTAACCGAAGATTAGTGTTAAACAGACATTGAGTAACCGGCCTTAGTGTTTTCCAAATCAAAATGCTTTTCCCTCATTTTCTTTTCATTAGCCACCTCTTACTTTCATTCTTATTTTACTTTGGCCAGCCAATTAACAATAAATCCGAAATTGCGTATAAAGATGATAAAATATGACATGTACTTCGATAAATAGTTGAAAAAAACTAGTAAGGACACCGATTGCAACGAGTGGAATGGGAGTTTTCAAGTTGTTTTCAGCGAAAACAGGTTTTCGTTTGACAGATTTTACACGGACGAAAACACAAGTTTTAGATCGAAAACCAGTTTTAGCAACGAAAACAAGTTTTCGTTTGACAGATTTTACACGGACGAAAACACAAGTTTTAGATCGAAAACCAGTTTTAGCAACGAAAACAAGTTTTCGATGTCGGTCAGAACATGGTATTAGGGGATTCCCTAAAATGCCGTCCTTAAATTGGCGCGTCAAGCGCCAAACAACTGTCAAAAATCCTCATGCCCGTACAATTTGTATGAAACATACCACAATAACGCGGCGCTGGCGCCGAGAAAATGGAATTTTTGTTTTTGACAGGGCGTTACGTGTTGAAGTTGGATGCAGAAGACAGTAAGAAACAGATAGGACAAAAAAATAAAATAGGAAACGTGAATAAAAACAGACGAAAACGAAAAACGTCAAAAATTACGCCGCGGGGATAACGCGCGCTGACACTCGTTGACTATGCAAAATACAACGCTTAACGCTCCAATTTAGAGACGGCAGTAACTCGTAAAGTCTTAGGGCCGGTTGTTCAATGTCTGGTTATCACTACCACTACACTATCGACGATTTCGACATCATGCATATAACATGTGATCAAAAATCCTCATGCCCGTACAATTTGTATGAAACATACCACAATAACGCGGCGCTGGCGCCGAGAAAATGGAATTTTCGTTTTTGACAGGGCGTTACGTGTTGAAGTTGGATGCAGAAGACAGTAAGAAACAGATAGGACAAAAAAATAAAATAGGAAACGTGAATAAAAACAGACGAAAACGAAAAACGTCAAAAATTACGCCGCGGGGATAACGCGCGCTGACACTCGTTGACTATGCAAAATACAACGCTTAACGCTCCAATTTAGAGACGGCAGTAACTCGTAAAGTCTTAGGGCCGGTTGTTCAATGTCTGGTTATCACTACCACTACACTATCGACGATTTCGACATCATGCATATAACATGTGATCGATAAAGCAGTCGGTGTACTTAACCGGAGCTTCTACCTCCGATTTGTGTTAATCAGACATTGAACAACCGGCCCTTAGACCGTGTAAAACTCGGTAAGTTTACGCGGCTTTTATGGGAAGGCCCCCTTTGTGAAGCAATTTTTGTTTCGTTGTATTTCTCATAACATCCCGCCATCTTGTCTCTATCGCTCTTGGCTAAAAAAAAAATTTAAAATTCCGAAAATTAACAGAAAACCTAAGTCAATATAGTTAGTGGATGAAATTTATTAATTTTAATCGCATATTGTTTTTTCATTTGTTTTCATTATTTTATCTTACATTTTAGTATAAAAATTTCTGAACAACACAGAGCAACATTGAAGTTTACGAGGTCGTTCACGCATCAAATTTGCCTCGTAAATTTACGAGGGGCTCGTAAATGNTAAAAAAAAAATTTAAAATTCCGAAAATTAACAGAAAACCTAAGTCAATACAGTTAGTGGATGAAATTTATTAATTTTAATCGCATATTGTTTTTTCATTTGTTTTCATTATTTTATCTTACATTTTAGTAACTATAAAAATTTCTGAACAACACAGAGCAACATTTAAGTTTACGAGGTCGTTCACGCATCAAATTTGCCTCGTAAATTTACGAGGCTCGTAAATTTACGAGCTTTACGAGGTTTACGAGGCTTTTACGAGTTTAAAGGAAGATCCTTAATACAAATAAATTTAAGTAGCACATACATAAAAAGAAAGCTAAGTTAAAAGCATTGCAATTGCATCATCGGCGTCTTTACTATCCATCTTTACGCTATAACGACAAGGTAAAATATGAGCCGCTCACCGTCTATGGCAAACGACAGGGAGCATGTTGCGAGCAAGCTCGCGCACTTGTTCGTCGTGTGTGGCCGCGTGTAAAGCCATGTGCGATTTATATTAGTAGAGGTAGAAATCCCGAAAGGAAATTCGCCTTGTTATCGGGCTTCGATACGAGTATGTTTTTCGATACCNATATGAGCCGCTCACCGTCTATGGCAAACGACAGGGAGCATGTTGCGAGCCAGCTCGCGCACTTGTTCGTCGTGTGTGGCCGCGTGTAAAGCCATGTGCGATTTATATTAGTAGAGGTAGAAATCCCGAAAGGAAATTCGCCTTGGTATCGATACGAGTATGTTTTTCGATACCTACTCAGTACCAGTGTTGCCGTTGTGATCCATACACTTCAAAAGTGATATGGGTTTGTTCAAATTTTCGGAAGATTTCGGGGATTCCCTTAAATTCGTGAAGTTTCATGGCCGGTTGTTCAATGTCTGATTAGCGCCGGTTAAATACAATAACTGCTTTATTGATCACATGTTATATGCATGATGTCGAAAACANAGTTTCATGGCCGGTTGTTCAATGTCTGATTAGCGCCGGTTAAATACAATGACTGCTTTATTGATCACATGTTATAGTCAAGTGTGATAACCAGACATTGAACAACCGGCCCTTATACGGCTTTTGCACGCCACCTCTATTACGTAGTTCGCTCTCTCATTCGTAATTCGCACTCCAGTTACCCTTCGAATTACGCAATTCGGTATACAAAATTTTGAGAGCGAATTATCTTATTTGTTGGTAATTCAGATCCAATTATCATGCAAATTACGAACAAATCGGTGCCGCCTCTAATTTTTAACAGAAATTTATCGAGACTAGCTCACAAATCAATACTAGCATATTGACATAGTGCAGCGAATTTNTTGAGAGCGAATTATCTTATTTGTTGGTAATTCAGATCCAATTATCATGCGAATTACGAACAAATCGGTGCCGCCTCTAAATTTTAACAGAAATTTATCGAGACTAGCTCACAAATCAATACTAGCATATTGACATAGTGCAGCGAATTAAAATTCAGCTTCTCCGCTGGCTTGGCCATGTCGTTCGGATGGACAGAAACGCTCCTGCTCTGAAAATATTCAACGCGGGCCGCGATGCTGGTAACAGAGGAAGAGGAAGGCCTCCTCTGCGTTGGAAAGACCAGGTGGAGAAGGACTTGGCTTCACTTGGCATTTTCAATTGGCGTCAGTTAGCACAGAAGACAAATGACTGGCGTGCTGTTTTGGACTCGGCCAAAATCGCTTAGGCGGTTTAAGCGCCAAATAAGAAGAAGAAGAAGCTCACAAATCAATACTAGCATATTTGCTGAGTTCGAAAAGTAAAGTTTATCAATGTGTAAATCCCTTATTTAATACGGAAAGTTATACATTTTTAGGAAAAACCTACATTTTGTACCAATTTTGAAGCGAAGAACAACAAAAACAAAACACAGAGACAGAGAACTGTCAAATCGAATGAAGAATATACCCGTGGGAATGGAATAATTTGCGATTCTAATTGGGGGAGCGAACAAAGAAATTCAGGACGGCGTGTGAAAATGGTATTAAACC